CCAGTTTCCAGAATCCACATTTTGGCTGTCAGTGCAAGCATGAGAGAGGAAGTCAAGGAAGAATCGGTGCATGTTTATGCATTAGTGTGCATGGTTGCATGGTTAATTGCAGGTTCAGCTACATGCATTTGTGCATCTAGGCAAGTGTTGAATACATAGAAGCGTACATGCACACCTTACAATAGTTTGTGACTGTACTTATTTAAAGAAAACCCACGTATTGCCAAGAATTAATAGTTTTGCAACCGCAGAATCTTGAAAACATATCATGGACGTTTTTTTTATATGGTATGGTGTTGAGTGAGGGGCTGGAAAGTTTAAGTGGGGTTTTGGAAGAAGATGTGGTGATATAGATGTGTTTTTAATTCATCTATTCGGAGGAGCCTCTCAATGCCGTCTCCAGTGTTACCTTTGGGTTTGAATGGGGCCAGACTGGACAGCAGCGAGCCCCTATACTTCTCTATCTGACCTTTCTCTTTTCTTTTCTCTTTCCCCTAATCAAAAAAAAGTGATTACAAAACAGAATGTAGTCTCTGGTGTCTAATTGCGTAGGCAGAATCTGTACCATGGTTGTCCTGGAGACTGCAGGAGTTCTGCTTTACATGTTATCTCCCTGAAGTGGAAACACACAAATCCACACAGAAATGCACAAACCTACAAAGTCACGGTTGGGAAATGTGGGCCCGTCCCAAAGACAACCTGGCTTGAAGGCTTGAGGGATTTCTCACACCGACACATCACTTTGTCTCACCACAGGACCTGCACTTTTAAACGGCAATAGGAAAACTCCTGGAGAGCTCGGAGCGTGGTTGGAGGGATGGAGTGTTGAAAGAGAGGTAGTAGCGGCGGGGTGAGAGAGAGAGGTGTTGTTGGAAGATGACACTAAGAAGAACGGGACGAGAGGGAAAGGAAAATTGGAAAGGAAATTGAAGGGGAAAGGAAAGGTTAATCACCTTGTCTTGTTAGCTGTCTATCATCTCAACATGTGTGCCAGCTGATAAAGCTGCACAGCATCTCCTGCAACAAACCTGCTGAAGGACTAGTAATATTAGTGGTGGGCCAGGCTGTCAGTAGTATGCTCAGTAAGTCAAATGATCTGTTAAGAACTGCCATCATCTCGATCCAGCCTTCTCAGACTCTTTCATTATCACTCCCCTTGTTTTCAGCCCTCGCTCCTGTCCATCCTTTCATCCGTCCCTCCTCACCTATCCACCTCTCTCTCCTTGTTTTTCATGTTCTGTTTCTGGCAGTGGTGAGTGCTTTAAGAGGGTATTAGCAGGGCGTCTGTGCAGTACTATCACAGCTTAGAGGGCCAGTGCAGGTGAGACAGCAGGGATTTCCTGTTAGGCCCCTCTGCTACATTCTTGCTAAATTGCTCCTTGCCAGGTGGAGTCGGAGGGGAGGAGGTCCAGCTTTCTCTCTCTCTCTTATACACACACTCACACACACACACATACCAATGTAGCCGGTAGCACATCGGCCTCAGCACATGATAATGTGCACCCACATATTGAACGTACAAAGGATTAGTGATATCACTACTGTGTGTGTGTGTGTGTTTGTGTGTGCGTGCAAATGTGAATTGCAGAGGACAGAGCCGTTCTCAGTATTAGACTTTGGTTGTCTGCCAAAGGAGCAATATGAGATAAATACTTCGCCATCTTACACCTGGGGGTCCTGGCCTGCTTCTAATGCTACTACGTGAGAGGCGCCCTCTGTGTGTCTCTGGACTGCATGGTGCACTCTCGTTTTACACATGCACATGTACACACACACACATGCAGGCAGGCAGGTAGGAACTAACTGTCACACACAGTCATACTTCTCAATTGTGTATTTTTATATTTGCTCTGTTTTTTATTCTGGTATTTTTATCTTGTAATTTGTGCAATTTTTTTCTTCTTTTTTTTCGTTATTCATTGAATCTCAAAAGGTGATGGACAACACAATTACAATTATAAGTCAATTTTATAAGTTCAAAAGTATAATCAAAGGTCCCCAACATGCAGTCAGAAAAGTCAATGTGACTGTTTGAGTATAGTTTTTCTGTTGCAGTATAAAAAGTATGCAACCACTTGGAAGTTTTCCCTTTTACTGCTTTTTGGTCAATATAATAAGGATTTTTCAACATGGATTTCCAAAAATGGAGTCTTTCATGTCAACGTGAAAATAAATTTCTTCAAAGTAGTTGAACATATAAAATGTAAAATAAGTGATCGCTGAAGTATTTACCACCTTCAAATCAGTATTGAGTAGTTGCACTTTTGGCCTGAAACTACAGCATCCTTTGTGGATACTCTCAGTCTTGCATACGTGGATGCTGCTTTTTCACTAACATTCTTCTTTGCAAAACTGCTGAAGCTCTGTCAGGTCGCACAGGGATTGTGAACGATCCGCCCTTTTCAAGTCCAGCCACAAATTCTCAATTGGATTGAGGTCTGGGCTCTTACTCGGCCACTCCAGGACATTCACCTTGTTGTTTTTAAACTGTTTCTGTGCGCTGTGTGCTTCGATTCATCGTCATCCTGGAAAACAGATCTTGTCCCAAAGCACAGTTCTCTTACAGACTGCATCAGGTTGTCTTCCAGTATATCCTTAGAATTTGCTGCGTTAATTTTACCCTCTACTGCTACAAGCCTTCTCATGAGAAACATCCCCACATTATGATGCTGCCACCACCATGCTTCACGGTGGGGATGGTGTGTTTGCGATGATGTGCAGCCCTTTGTGTCCATGAAACATAGTGTCTAATCCTGCTTTCTGGCAAACTCTAGAGGAGATCTGATATGAGCTTTGTTCAACAGTGGCTTTCTCTTTGCCTTTTTTCCCATAAAGCTTTGGCCCGTAAAGAATAGTAGTATGTACATTCTCTCCCATCTCATCTGCTGAAGCTTGTAACTCCTTTGAACGAGTCTTAGGCGTCTTGGTGTGCCATATTCCTTCCATTTCTTAATGATGGATTTAACTGTACTCAAAGGGATATTCAATAACTTGGAAATTCCGTTGTATCCGTCCCCTGACCTCTGATTTTCAACAACCTTTTTACAGAGATACTGGGAGTGTTGTTTTGTCTTTGTAATGTAGTTATCGCCCTGAGTACTGATTTACTTGATTCAGGAAGTGGAACTTCCAGATACAGGTGTCTTTATACTACAATTACTTGAGACACATTTACTGCACTCAGATGATCTCCATTTCACTAATTGTGTCACTTCTAGCACAAACTGGCTGCACCTGTTTTGAATTCGGTAAGTCACTTTAAAGGGGGTAAAAACTTATGCAATCACATATTTTACATTTTATATGTTCAATTATTGACATTACTTTGTAGAAATCTGTTTTCATTTTGACATGAAACAGCATTTTTTCTCCCCCACCTTCGATAAATTCTTTTCTAAAAAGCCATTTAAATAGACCATTAATTTAATGTTCAAAAACACTGAAAGGGGAAAACTTCCACAGGGGTAAATACTTTTAATAGGCGCTGTACATTGTAGATTTGTGACTTTAATTTGAGATTAGCTGTGGTAAAGCTTGTTAATTGATTCAATTTTGCCTCCATCTGCTTCAACAACCACCATCCTCCCATTCTGGATCTCCTTAAGTGCCTTGTAAAATGCTTAAGCTGGAGATGAGCTGGAGAGCAAAACAGAGTCTGTGCTTTAAGTGTTTTCACACAGTCCACTTTGTGTCCAAGTAACGCTTGTTAAAATGACTGTTAACAAACCCTCCCTTGCTGCTTCTCTCTCTCTATATGTGTGCGTGTGTCTTGAATTCACATAAAACATACATACACACGTTAAAATTAGGTTCAAGTGGGTTCATTATTTGCGCTATGACAGAAAGGGCTGGAAATGAAATCAGTTGTTCATGAGCAACAAAGGAGCGTATAGTCTGCTCATGACGGCCAGCTGAGAGTGTATATGTGTGTGTCACTGTAGGCGGTGCAGCAGGATACTGATATATGTCCAATAAGAAGTTCTGGAGCGAGCTCAGATATCTCTCATCTCATTGCACACGGCCAGATATGGATGATTTTAATGTGTGAGTGTGAAGTGTGTGAGCAGTCTGATCTATGGCAGCACTGGTCCGATCATACAACACTCTCTGTAACAAATGATGGGACAGGCTCCAGGCTCCTTCACTCTCACACACATTTTTACCTCATCAGTCCACAGTGGTTCATATTATGGACATTAGGTCAAAGTCGAACTTTTACTACTTCCAAATGTCAACAAGTAAATGTGTTGAGAAATGTCATTTCAAGTACTGGATAATAACATATGGGCCACCTGACTGAGAACTGGAGGGGGAAAGTCATGGTGTAAGATTTCTTCATCTTTTTTTTTGTGTATTTTTCTGTAGCTGCTTCTCTTTATGTGTCTTTGCGTGTCAGTCAATCAGCCCTGGTTCATTCTCAAACGGCCTGCCTTGTACAGTCTATTTCAGATTACTTTCAACCTATGTGCTTGCCTGTCCATCAGCAAGTGTCAGTATACTGGATAGCTGTATGAATACTGTATTATATCACCCACTCTGTCTCTTACTGTTCCTTTTCTCCTTCTGTCTGCCTGTGCAGTATAAGTGCGGCATTTTTTTTTTTTCCAATTTCTGACTATATGTCTGTCTGCCTCCCTACTGGTCTGTTCATGTTTCTCTTATATATCTGCACTCAAAGGTAAAGCCTAATTCTGGAGACAGATTGTTGATGTGAAGTAAAGTTGCATATTTACATAGTTAGCTTGTCCAATGTCCGTCAAACTGCCCTCTCTTTGTCCTGTGCATAAACATCCAAGAGCATGCACCAGGACACACTGGAATAGTGATATGTGGATCAGTGTTTACAACTTACAGAGTCAGGCCTGTGTACGAACACAGTGCACACACACACACACATACACACACAAACACATACATACAAATATTTGCAGAATCTTGTAAAAAGGTGTGTATTGGATTAGAATCACTGACTTTAACTTTTTGTCCTTGTCAAATTCTAGGTGGATGCTCTGCGGGTGCGTTTGGAGGAAAAGGAGCAGTTCCTGACCAAGAAGACCAAGCAGCTACAGGACTTGAATGATGAAAAGAGCACGCTAACAGGAGAAATCAGAGACATGAAAGACATGCTGGATGTCAAGGAGAGAAAGGTCAATGTCCTGCAGAAGAAGGTATGTAAATCTAGTTGATTACAGCATCGAGTGTTTCATGCAGTGTAGCCGGGCTGAAAGTTTTTTCAGAGAAAAATGCAACCTTGAAGGAGTTCTACAGCAAAGCAGTGCATCGTATTGAAGCTGCTCTAATCCATATTTTGATAGTAATACTGGGCAGAATGATTACATGTATGTAAAAGAGGTTGTTTGTTGTGACAAACGTACACTGTGGCGTTATCAGACTCATTTATTTTATTTATTTTTTTATAACCTCACTGTATTCGCTCTCATCAACTTTGTTTCCAGCTACAGCAACTAACTGTTTTCCATAAACAAGCTGCATGCACTCAACACAACCTGTCACCAAATAGTAGACAGAAAAAATAAACAACTTGGTGTAAACACAAAGCAACCGTCAGGACTTGATGGAGACCAAAATCTGAACCAATAGTAGAGTGACTTACATTTGTATGGTGGCTATAAATATTTCTCCAAATACGTGATAATGTTGCTTCTTGTAACATGCAGCTATTTGCTAACATGTTTGCCAGCATGTTAGCGTTGTGTAGCTTCTCCATCCACCCTCAAATAGCCCCAAAAAATCTCTTAATATTGATTTAAGTGCTGATCGGGCTACGAAGTAGGTTAGTTAAACTCACCAAAGAGAACAAATGTAAAAAAGAATTTTCGTAATGTCAGCTTTTTCAATTAACTAATCTTTTTCTTATCAGTTCTACATAAAAACAAAAACCCAGATTGTTCAGGGTGAGAATTTAACAGTGTAAATATGAATCAGTGAATGTATATGTGGAGATCTGCAACTCGTAGTCGATCACTAATTTCGTCAGCGTGTTTGAACACTGAAACCTTCACATGTAAACATGTACGATACAAATGAGGCAGATGAATAAAAGCAGCATCTGGTCCCAGATGTCACACATCTCTCTCTCCCTGCTCACACACACACAAACACTTGCACGGCAAGTCTCAGAGGCCTTAATGACTTTTATAGGGGTTGCTATTTAGATGGGGCCTGTGGCCACCTGTGGTGCGCATGTTGGCAATTCCTCTGTAGACCAATTACACACACATAAAGGTCTCCTCTGAACTTCCTTGTTTCCTCTCATGTCCTCAAATTAGAGCTCCCTCTCTCTCCTCCCTCCCTCCCCCTTGCTGAGTTTAATGAAATGGGCTCCAAAGGTCACATACAGTACCATCTGTATGTGTGTGTGTGTGTGATTATCATTGCATGCATATATTCAGTTACATTATTATGTTTGTGTGACCTCCAAATGACTGTGTGAGAGGCTTAAAGATGACCTTTGTGCAAACCTACGCTGTGTTGTACTCCTTTGGGTCCCACCTATAGCTTCTCCTTGAGGCACCTATAATAATAATAATAAGTTTGCTTCTAGGTGATTTTTTATTTTTTAACTGACACTGAAGTCATGTCTGATGTGAACTTTTATCTTAAGAGATTAAATGTTTGTTATTCGCTGCCAGTTACTTTGGGTTGGAAGTTGGACATTTAAAAAAAACAAGTTGATTTAATTAAGGATTGGTGTGTGTTTCGTAAAGAGTGTTTTTATTCCATTTTTGCAGAGTTGTGCTATTTTACTGTCAGCCTTACTTGCCCTTTTCATCACTACAAGCTCAGAAATGAGCTTACTTTGGACTGCAGATATGTTTTTTTGTGCTGCGTGTCATTGTGTTGATGGCTGGTTTCTCACTGGCCAGTTTTTTTTTCCTCCCTTCATGGATGCTTTTTTCATCTGTGTCTGTGGAAAGTCTCACACTTCCTCCGACTCTTACACCCATTAATGCGGAATCAATAGAAGAAGTGAAATTTGAATGAACAAGGATGCCAGATATTTTACACTGGGAAGCAACAGGTGTTTCACCCCATTAGCCACACTGTATACGTTCACCACAATCTGGTTTTCCAGACTTCCTATTTCTCAACAGTCCTCGGGGGCTATAACTTACAGTGTTTTGTCTCAGGGGAAAGACAGGAGGAGAGCTGGGATGCTAGTTTCCTTTCTGGACTTCATACTCCAAAAGTCACTGCTGGCTTATTGTGTAAAATACACAGAGGGTGTGTATGTTTGACAGTGAGAAGTTCTCCCCAGACACGAATCTAACTGTCAAGGATGTATTTCCTAACTAATGACTGACTGCATGTCCTTCAACACCGAAGCTAATCGTATTGGCTTAGATTAACTTCTCTCATTTTTGCACGATGCTTTACTGTCAACCAGAGACATACCAGCTGTTTACAAAACTGAAATCTGGATCATTTTAACAGCATCTTTAAAATCCGATAGAGGTGTTCTGTACATTCAGTGCATCTTATTCATACAGTCGCAGTCATTTTAACCCTCCCTCAGTTTGACCTCATGCACCTTTATTTCTGATCGTATGTGTTTACCAGACACTGACTAAGACATACTGCCTCCGAAAACCACTCTGATGTGGTGCAACTTTTGGGAGGAAATTCAAAGCTGATATAACTTACACGTCTCTGATTGAGGTTTGAGCGAGTGTGTGTGCGTCTTTGTTGTTCTTTCTTTGTCTTTTATATAATCAAAGGACAATAGAATACTGCTTCTGCTCATATTATAATAAAGTGTTTACAATGTCAAAGGAAACTTTGTTAATTAATCTACAAAACCACCACTTGGATCGTTACAAAAGTCTGGTGTTTAGTCACAAGAAAATTTGAACAATAACTTGAAACAAACAGCTTGATCTGGCATAGCATCACTATTAAACTATGGCAGGTTTCTTTGGATAGGTAATAATAAGGACGTCTTGCTTTTATTTACTGCTTAAAGTAATATTTTGACCGCACATTCAGAGTTTACAGTGTGTCCACTTCTGACTCAAACAGCACCTGGCTATTTCACTGCTACCCAGTGTTGTCATTGTTATGCAAAATAATAAATAAGGCAGGAAATATGCAGATACTTAAAATTCACAGCTGCAGGCTCACTTTGCATCGACAAAGTTGGAAAAACATACCGATAGTGGCACCATGCTGCATGTGAAAAGTGAGGTGAAAGTCACACTTGAACTTGTTGGATGGCACTTATCCAGATTGTTTCCTCCTGATTAGAGCTTTGCTTGTGTTGTATCTGCTCTCAGGTCGCTTTGGATTAAAGTGTATGCTAAATGAAACTGCAGAATTGTATAGAACTCATACCAGCTTGATATGTGACAGTCAAATATACTGCTGTCGTTGTAAATCACATTAAAGTAAATAATATTTAGATTTAATCATACTGACAAAGGGGTAATTCTTCTGGTAAATGTGCTGTCAATAAGTAATTTGATGTAAAAAGTGTTGTGTTTGGCACTGAAAGCTGTTTTCAAAACTCAGCAAACCATTTCAGAATGATGACTGATGAATTTGCATTTTTGTTTCTAATTATTTTTTGCTTGTGTTTTGTAGCCTTAGCTTACTATAAAACTCAGAGCAGACTACGTAATGTAGGTTTTTCATTAATTTAATGTCGAGCTGGCAGGACTACAAAGTGCCGAAACTCACTGCAGTTCTTGGGGTTTGTTTGTTTGGTTAGTTTGCCTAATTTAAGCATCAAGATGGTCAGCCAGTAGTGTAATATTGAGCTTCAAAAACCTCAAAAGAGACGGATTTGAAGTTAATGTTAAAATGATGCAGTCAAAGCAAAAACAGCAATTTCACAGGCCTGTGTATGAAACCAGACATTTGTCATAAAGACCTTAAGAAGTTCATATGCGAGTTCAGACGGTTTTGTCACTGCATGGAGGACTTGTTTTAATGAGAGCCAGACCGTTCGCGCATGCCTCTATTGTACAAAAAATTATCTGCTCTCAGTCACCACATTACTACTGCAGTCTGGTTTTTTGGGCAACTACAGGTTGTAGAGATCAGAGAAAAGGGCTTTGTTGTGCAGCTGCATCCCAAAGCTCAGAAAATGCTGCTGCACGTCAGACTTCACTACAGACTTTCTGAGTACATTACAAGCAGCACTGCGTTACTGAATACATCAAAACTACCCGAACAGATAAAAACTGTTTTGATCTGATGACTGAAGTTCAAGCATCACTCATTTATATCGGTGAAGCTGATTTAAACTTAACATAACAAAGCTGACAACCTGTTCCCTTTTGATTCATGTTGTCTGACAGTGTTTGATTTCTCCTTGTTCTCAAAGAGGGAAAATAGTAATTGTGTCATTTCTCTCTTGCAACTGGAGATTTGACATTTACGATAAAATAAAAGATCTGGAAGGCTAGATGTTTTTGTATAATAATATGTAAAGGGCAATCTTGTTCTCCATCATAATTCTTACATCTTAACTTTAGCAGAGTTTAATATGATGGTTATCAAACTTATATGAATGACTGATGTTTTAGCATTGTATACAGCAGCAGTTTGCAGCACTACAGCGCACAAAATGAGGACTCCAACATACTGTAGTTCCTCTATGACAACTTCAAAGCTCATGTGATACAAGGTCGGTAAGCTGGTCATTTTCTACTGTTGATTAAGTTCAGGTTCTTTGCAGCCATGATGACTCAGAATTTTTCTGTCATATTCCAAACTTTTTAGTGCAGGTTGTAATTTCCAGTTTTATCTAAGGCAGTCAATCCTCAAACACAAACAGTACTACAGAAGTGTGTCTGCCTGGCTTATTGTTACAGTAATACAGTGATTGTGCAGGAGCGTTCTGTTGACAGCAGCTTTTTGAATGAAGATGCACTTAAACTACCGATGATGAGGAATTAAGTTATGTGTAATTTATGAGAAACATAATACAAACGCAGAACCGGAGCATGAAAACGACAAAACGATGCAATGAATGACGCAATCAAAATACATAGCAGTCGCAAGAGAAGCTAGGAGTGATGAGGAATTCTCTTAGAGCCACCGCAACCGTTCTTCTAAAAACTGCGAATGACTTGGATGTTGATGTGACCCCTATCCACACGAGGAAAACTGGAAAATATGCAAACCTCAACATGAAGTTGGCTTA